ATTAATTCAATATAAAATAGTTCACAGAGCATATTTTACGCCAGCCAGACTGGCTAGGATGCGTTCCTCTGAAACGGCTACCTGTTGGCGGTGCCCCTATGAACCAGCTGACCTAATACATGTGTTATGGTCCTGTCCTAAAATCCAGGAATATTGGAGGGGGGTAGCTGATGTGGTTACGGATCTCATGTGTACTCCAATTCCAATGTCTATCAAAACCTGTATGTTGGGCATCATAGATGACCTTGTTCCCTCAGTGGCGTCCCGCACACTCCTGACCTATCTATTGTTTTACGCCAGGAAAGTCTTGGTTCTACACTGGAGGAAACTGGAGCCACCTACCCTGGGAGCCTGGAAGTCCATAGTAAATGCTTCCCTACCATTACACAAAGCTACGTATGCTAACAGAGGGTGCCCCCAAAAGTTTGACAAAATTTGGTCTGGCTGGATAGAGTCCACTGCTACGCTGGGAACTGAGTAGATAATCCTGGAGGGGCGTGGGCACGTATGTCTCCTGATGACGGTGCATCGGTCTCCTTTTCACATCCTGCAGTTTTCGGCAGCGATAGTGCTGGGTGAGTGGCGGTGAACGTAGAGTTCCCCTTTCTGCTGGTTGGTTGCCCGTGGTACTGTCATTAAGGAAGATGCTACAAAGTAATAAGTAATGACACATACATTTGAGGGGGAGTTCCTGGAGAGTGGGTAGGAGTATTGGAGAATAAGGGATCCGTAATGTGCTGGGGGGGGGGGATGCTGATCGGGGATTGTTTATGCGTACTGTGTGTGTATTTTGGGCATATGTTATGCCGTACTGTGTGTTATTTTGTACTTGAGGCACTATGTTAGTGCCCTGTTTATTTGTATTATAAACTGCAAAATGAATAAAAAGATTTATAAAAAAAAACAAACAAGTGAAAATAAGCTCTGCCATCACAGTACAGACATGGTTTATTATGACAAACACATCTCCCCTGCCCCTGCACAGCAAGCAAGAACTAAGTAGGATTTTTTAGCGATATAATGTTCAGAAAAGAGCATTCATAATGGATAGAAGTATTTTTTTATTTATGCTATGTAAATGGGAATATGTAACAAACAGAAGTTAGGTGTTATCCCAATTTGGCAGCAAAAGTGGGCATACACTTTAAGAGAAGATTGCAGCTTCCAAACTACAAACCCCAAAAGGAAAATGCCACACTGTGGCCAGGGACAAACCGTGTGACACCACTCCTTATTGGCACCAAGCATGAACTGTCAATCATATCTGATCTGCGTTATTGGGCTGATCAAGGAAACATTGCTGGGTGTGTTGGTGACCTGCTGTAGGTAGTACAGATACAAGATGCAGACAGTGGTAACTTGCTAAAGATACTGGGGCATAATTCCCCATTACACTAAATGTTGTTGATAATACAATTTAAGTTCACCCAACAAAAGAAAAGCATAGTTTTCCAATCACTTGGGGCCGGACAATACCTGTAATGAAGCAGCCTAAAGGCAGTCCTCACAGGCGGCAGCAGGTGTGTGTGTGTGGGGGGGGGGTGGGGGTGGGGGGGCGGCCACAGCGTCCCAGGTTGCTAAGAGCTCTTTGCTACCTGAGACGCTCTGTCCAGATTCTCGCCCAGCTCACTGACGTCATCAGTTGCCTGGGAGCTGAGCGGGACGCTCTGTATGATGTCCCACCAAGCTCCTGGCAACCAGTGAGCTGGGCGGGATGGGCTGGCCTCAGGCAGCGTGAAAGGTAGGGACGGCCCTGACTTGGGGGGAAGTGGTATGACGGACGCTACAGCATTTATGCTCTACCCAGAGTTGGGATATAATCATTTATGCATTTTCTTATGACATACACAGCGAGGTACAACTTTGTTTATGGCAGTGTCCCCTTTCTAATACTTAAAGATATACAAAATGTGTTTCGGTCTTTAATTAATGACATGTGTTTGATCCAGAGCAAGGCTAAAAGAAAAAACACAAGCATGGGAAAATTTGCTATAAGAGGGTTTAAAAAAATTTTGTTCTTGATCCCATACTGGTGAACGGATAAATACCTGGATCAATCTCCTATCAAATGTATCATTCCCATAACTGCTGTGCATTGTTCTTACAAACAATATTTAAGAGACAATAGTGAGCTAAGCAGCAGTCTGGTCACTGGTACAGTCCATACAAAAGAGGAGAGAACGCACCATACACATGATGATGAGACTGATAGGATTGTCCCTACTGCACTATTTCTAGCCTTTAGGTGTCCCGCTAAGTAAAGCATTTTTTACGCCACTTACTGAACCCTATCCAGTCTTTACAGTTCTTTAATAT